ATGATGTTATTGAAGAATTAAAAACACTAGAAAAAGTACAAATTGATAAATGGGCAGGGGGCCCCCCATGGGCAGCATAAGGAACATCGGCAAAGACATGGAGACATACCAGGTTCAAGAACCGTTGACAAGTTCACAAATAATCACAATTTATTTACGAATAAATTTTGCCCTCTGTGTTTAACAAGTAATTGCATAGTTCCTCGCGAAGCGACGAGGGCAATTTGTGAAACTTTGAAAACACGCGTGGAATTAAACCTTAATTTTACTCGGCCCCATGCGATTACCTGTGTGCCGGCTATACTCAGTTGAGTGTTGGGTAAATTTTAGGCAATTTCTTGTTGACATTAATTAACAATGCCAATGATAATTATATAGCGGAAGTCGCAAATAAACCCAAAACATTCCGACAAAATATATCATTTTTTGTCACAATTTATTGAGACCAGCCACAATTTGAAGCTTATTTTGCTTTTGGTTAGCGTTGCCTCACTTACCTGCGTAAAAAGTGAGCAATTCTGATACGTGGCATCAGGATTTTCAATAATGTTAACAAAACTTCCAATAGCCGGTCCGTTGATCTTCACTCTGGCTTGCATGAGAAAACCTTGTATTCTATCACCGCTTACTGAAACACGAATCATTTCCATACGCTTGTCCCACCTAGCAGCCAATCTGTACGGACTTGGTTTCGACTGAGCTTCACTTAGTCTACCTAACACTGGATTATAATGATCTGGCTGCATGGTTGCACAACTGACTGGCGAAGCTCCATCTGGACGACATGACACAAACCTTGTCGCAATAGCCAACAAGATAACCCTTACTGGATGCATTGTAACAATATGTGTCAGAGCACTTTAACTGTTTGTTGTTTTGTGAAGAGGCGAGCTTATAAAGAATCAGAATGAGAGCAGGATGTACTCAACCAGCATGAAATGTATTCAGCTCTGTGGAATATCTTGATTTATCCGACTGATATATTTCAAAGGTTTACAATAGTCAATACTACAAGATTTATGAAAGACGACTTTGTATTAACGAGTTAATATCTACGAGAATTGTACCGGTATGTTCAACGCTTTTACGAATCTTTCATTACAGCTTCAATTCAAAATTATATTTGATACTTTTATAATTTAAGCCGCAAACGAGAACAATTGTTTTCCTCGCCCTTCCTTTGTGTGTTGATGCTTATCATATTTCACATTACTTTCATACCTAATAAGGAAAACAATTTGCAGGAAGCGGATTCGAGGTTATTCTACTTGTTCGAGGTTTCCATACTAAAAAAGTAGGTGCGCAAGCGTACACTGTACATATATCTGTGCAAAGGGCGGGATTTTACAGACAAAAAGGATGATGTTTTTGACATTTAGGCGCGGTCACTAATTCAATATCAGAAACTGACCAACAACGTAACAAAGCCCAGCTATTTATAGAATAAAAATATATATGATATATATATATATATATATATATATATATATATATATATATATATATATATATATATATATATATATATATATATATATATATATATATTTGTTCGATTCGTCAAATAATTGCGATAAAATTGTAAGAATATTGTCTTAAATTGAGAGATAAAATTAGTTTACATCTACTGCCTTAATGTGGGACTTTGCAGATCACTCATCTGTTCAGTGAAAGATGACCAGTTGACACGTACGTTAGCATGGCTGAGTTTCGGTTTCATGGTTTTTATCTTCTTTGCTTGCACATGTTTATTGCAAGAGTGTTTCCGACCCAGTCCGGCAGTCCCACAATTTTTTTATTTATTTATTTAACTAACTAGTAACATGCAACATTTAACAATATATTTACACCAACATATAATATGTGTTCCATTGGCAGGGTGCACGCTACAGTTTTCACCAATAACAGCGGCCCCATGAACTATATGCTAACGAACACATATCTAATAACAACACGATATTTGACAGGACAGTTACGAGACTTGTTACAAGACAAACATATAGATTTCCATGCCCTTGCCCTTGGATCATCAACGTCAAAAACGTCTTCCAGCACTAACTTTTAGAAAGTCCGTTTTTAAATAGATCTTTCCCCTTTTAAGTGAAATTTTGATCTAGACAAGTCTGGACAAAAATTTCATCACAGCTTGAAAGAGCATCACAAAATTAGTAATATTCCGAACTTTCGTTGCAAAATGTTGTAAAATGCGGATAATATAGCCTTGCGAAGTTTGCCGTTTTTCAGTCATTTTGCATTACAAACGGGAAATTGATAATCAGATGATCAAACTGATTATCAATTTCCATTTGTAATACAAAATGACTGAAAAACGGAAAATTTCGCCAGGCTATATTATCCGCATTTTACAACATTTTGCAACGAAACTTCGGAATATTACTAATTTTGTGATGATCTTTCAAGCTGTGATGAAATTTTTGTCCAGACTTGTCTAGATCAAAATTTCACTTAAAAGGGGAAAGGTCTATTGTCCTAGCTAAACTAATGTTATTGCTTGTCAAACTATTTGGTAGTGCATTCCATAATCTCCTTGTTCGGTTGAGAAATGACCTTTGGTGGGTCGTGGTCTTGCATTGTACGGTTGTAAATGGCAGATGATTGGGATCAGACGACCTGGTTTCTCCTCTGTTGTTATTGGGTGACGACTGCCGGTGTTAAATCATTATCAATGGTCATGATGCCATGCGTTAATTTGTATAAGGTTCCGGCTAGAAATTCATGCCAAATTCATGCCTGAAAATTAATATGTTTTATAGTACAGGGTGTATCAAAATAAACGCAATTCATCTTTTGTGCTTAATAACTTTCGAAATACTATTTCTAGTTAAACGCTTTTAGGCTTACTTCAAAGCCTGTTCTTTTCTCTTTCAAACAAACTATTATCCTTGTCTCCAATGCTAGTAATAATTGCACAGGAAAAGATTTAGTAAAACCTATCATTTTTAGTTGCTGTTTAATTATGCAAGTTTACCATGTTATTGTTTAGTCGGTTTAAATGTTAGAATTTTCTTCTTTGAACTTTAATGTTGTCGTCACTACATCTGGAAAACCACGTATAAGAACAAATTAAAAGTATTTTAAAAGAGACCAGGTTGTTTGAAAATCCTAAACGAATGCTAAAAAAAATCGTCAAAACATTCTGGTGTCTGAGCCAGAGTGTCATCGAATTGCGATGTAATGTATAAACAGAAATTATAGCAAGTTGATGTCAGTCAGCTTAGATGGTCCAAGCCAAAATTATATCGCATTTGAAGTTTCAAACTGAGTTAAAAATAGTGGAAGAAAAACCGTAATTATACTTATTGTTACAATCCATTTAATAAAATGCAACATTTTTTTGTTTTAATGAAAAAATCAGTTATTTTCATGAGAACGTTTAGTTATTCCATCTCAATTTTTTTAATCTCCAATCGCAATAACGTAAAGTATTATTACCCGCGAACCAATGAGTCAAATTTAAGAAACAACCCACTGTTAGAAAGCGGAATGGCTACGCTTTAAAATGAATGTAAACTTTAACGTTTTTGTCTATTATTTGTTTAGCAATTTACATTTCAGTCGAGGATTGCGCTTTTTTTGATACACCCTGTATACTTCTTGGCAAGGGTAGAATATACTTATATACATGGAGAAAAATACAAGAAATGGGTGTTTCGAACGTATACCAGAACCAGGGCCATAAAATGCTATAGACGGTCCTATTCGAAACGTAAATCCTAGAGGAAGGAATAGATCGAGTTCCCCTGCCAAAAATTTTCTGATTAAACGCAAGGAACCACTTGATTCTTTTTATGTGATATATGTCAAAGGAACTTACACTCATACTCCAATTCAACGAACGCCGAGATCAATCACGTTCTGGCTTTGTCACATCCGTCATAATGACGTGTGCTACAGTCCAAGGTCAACTTTGAAATCAACCAAAAAGGAATACAAAGCTCTTTTTTAAAAAGTTCTTTATTCTGAAACCATACCTAATTTTAGTGTGCGGTGATATCTAATTTGTGCAGTGATAAAAGTAAAATCACAACTGCAGTGATAAAATGTAAAATGTGCAGTGATAAAACTTGCTGACTGTGATCGGTTGTCAATTAATTAATTAACAAGAAAATGAGGCATAATCGAAGGAATTAGCCTTTCTCACGCCGCCATTTTTGGCTGGCTTTTCAGCCGAAGTCTGCGAGATAAGTCCACATAACAGCGACTTTTTATAATTGTTTGGACGAATGATGGTACATTTGCTATGTAAATGGTTAGTTTATTTAAAAAAATTGCTTTTCAAATTGTTTTAATTGTCTGCATTGGGATGCCACCCAAAAATGGCGGATATTCGTCATCGTGAGAAAGGCTAATTAATCAAAACGTTTTCGGATCAGAATAATTTGAATGAAATTGAAGTGATAACTGCCAATTAAATTATCGAACGTCCGTACTATAATATTATGCTTAAGGTTCGTCCGATGAACAAAGTATTCCACTAAAAGATCTCTATGAGTCCAGAAGATTGAGTTAGTGTATAATCTTTAGAATTTGCTAGAATTGTTGGAAATGCCCTTTTAGAGAGCATAGATTACACAATTTTCTGTGGGTGCATAAACACAATTTTCTGTCGGTGCATTTGCCAAAACGAAAATGTTTCTTTCCTGCAAGTATGTGATTATGAAACTATGCTGTCATAGATAGTCGCAACTGCAGGTGCTATCAAGTGGCTATCATAGTGTTAGAAGATGGAATCACGGAGGGGCCCGGCCAAGTCAAATTTTGCCCTGTGCCCCCAAATTATCTGGGTGCTGTGCAGTGTATGTTGGTTTTGGCATTTTTGAATATCAATTGTAGCCTGTTTTGTGGTTACACATTATAAGGGTGTGTTCAGAAATTTTCAGGGCGTATGTGTTCATTAAGATGACGGGACAAATAACTTAGAAAGTTCTTGAAAGATGTTGTAAGTTGTAAGGGAAATTTGAACAGTTAGAACTTATTTAAACATTGGGTTTCTTGTTTCAAATTTATTTGGAATGTTTATGAGTGTACTACCTTTAAACGTAACGCAAGGAATAAGATTCCCTTTTCTCCTAATAAGCAATAACCTCAGATCAACTATACGTTTCATATAATGCGCTGTAACATATATAAAACGTATACAAATATACGGATCTGGGAGATAATAAGCCTACGATATTGGGAAATTATTTATCAGTTTAGGTCTGGATGCACAAGTTGAAAATAGATTGAAAATCGATTAATTATTAGTATTTTCAACTATCTCAACTAACTTTTAGGAGACTAAAGAGAGATCCTTTATTGAGGATTAACTTCGCGAAATCCTTGGACTTTGTCCACCAATAAGTATTGTTATGAGGTCGGAATCATTACAAACATGAAAGCTTTACTAAATGTTCTTGATAGTTCTCTTCTTTTCGTTGTCGTCTATCTTCTTCAGTTACAATGCAATGTGCATGCAATGCAATTAAATTTATACATAAACAACGTTTCATAGTGAGCGCATTTGACGCTCATTACATAATGATATATCAAAGTTATTTATCCTTCATTCGCCTGCTACAGGGTCGTACGCAGGGAGGGGGCAGCAGGGCCAACTGCGTCCAGAAAAAATTAACTTATTAATTTTGTAATGTTATTATAAATTATTAAGCCAAAATGACGCTTATAATCTCGTGAATCAGAATGTATGACACTGATATGACTTTGAATACATTCACATTTAAAACTATTTTTGCCCCGGCCCTGGTGAATCCTACGTACGACCCTGGCCTGTTGTCATAATGATAATAAAAGTCTTGATAAAAAATATGTTCTATATATCTTATTAACCTAACATATGTTTCAGTGAATCACAACGAATGTATCATAAAAGCGACCACCAGGCTTGATAGAGTCCAAAACGGAATCAAAGGCCGTCCCTAAATTAAGAAAGAAATATAAATATTTTCGTAATATTCGATATATCAATAATTATCATTCTTCTGGGATGAAATAAATTAAGGTACCCAAGCCTTTTTGTATTGTTTAAGGAGGAATAATTATACCTGCAGCTTTTAAAATCCTATAAATCGGTTATAATGGCTGTCATAAGACGTTAGCTCAGTACAATACATTAAATTATTCGATCCATCTCTACCAAAAATCAAATATATAGTATAGCTATTATAGTCAAATGATGGAAAGATTGAGAGTGAGGCGGTATACATGTAGTTCCGTATTTCGAGATTTTGTTATTTCATCCCGTCGTCGATATTTCCCTGCCAGGTTGAACGGTAATTTCAGCTCGGTTAATTGTGGAAAACTCTCCATGTCATGGCATGAAATTACTACATTTTCGCAATGAATGACAAAAAAAAATATGCATGTTTTCTCAGAACTGATAGGGAACAGAACATGTAGTGAATTAAACGACGCGGTGATTGCATGTGCGTGTTTGAACACGGTCATAAACGAGGTCATAACATTAATATTTCCTATACTAAAATGAAGGAATAAAATTGCTTTTGTTCAGAATAAACGAGAGGTGGTTTAAAATGAAAAACCCCTAAATCCTACCACACGGCAGAAGAAGGCAAAAACATGCTGGCAATACTTACTGGTGTGCCATTTATATCCTAAAAGTATACGAAAAAGATTAAGTTAGAGAATTTTTAACAAATTAAGTGATAGATTTAACAACATTCACAATATATGCTATTATGCATTCACAAACGGTTTACAATTGATCTGTCCATGAGTTATATACAAAACGTATTGTTATATAGTTAGTGTCAAAGTTCAATTTTTCTGCGATTCGACAACGCGACGCGATTTTTTAGTTTTTGAAAGTTAATAAAACAGCCAATCAGAGCAAATTTTGAAAGATATGTAGACCAAATAACTCGAAATGTTATAGCGCTTCTAAATATTTGGAAAATTCAAACTAGGATCAAAGTTATAGTTAGTGAAAATCGAAAAATCACGTCGCGTTGTCGAATCGCGTCCGGGTCGTGTGTCTGGACCTTAATTAGGTATTGTGTCATTCTCGTACCCAGAGCCCTTCTTACGTGCGGTGCGACGAGTGGCTCTGGCCAAATCCATATTCCGAACTGGCATCTGATTGGCTAGTTCTAACACCGGACATTGTTTTCTTACCATGTTTTTATGGTATCCGGTTATGGATTTGGCCAGAGCCCCTCGTCGCACCGCGCGTAAGAAGGGCTCTGGGTACGAGAATGGTATTGTGTGTGACTATGAATGTCCCTAGGTCGCACTTTTGACCTGCATAATATATACAGTATAGTTACTCCAAGTAATACAGTAGCAGTAGTTGTAGTTAGAGCTTGGTAGATTTTCAGTACTGTCATTTGTTAAGAAATATGTTCTCTTCCGAATGTCACTCACCAGAATATTTATTTCGTTACTTGGCTGCTTAACCCAGAATATTTCATGACTTTGTGCCAATGTTGCGTAAAACGTAACATTGATATTTTTTGCCCTATTTGCAATTGGGCGCCACAGAAATGTGAGATTAGGCTTCGAATTCGAATTCGTATGTGTTATACTTGAAAATTGAGGAAACTGAAAAGAAAAAGAAGATCACTACTTTGGGAGACAAATAATGACAGGCTACAAAAAAGTCAGGTCAGAAAATTCAACGAGAGCTTCAACCGCGTTTATTATTGGCACAACCATCACTCATCACACAGTCATCATGCAGGCGGTCACGGTGTTAGATAATTTAAATTACTTTTTTTGTTTATATACAGTTTATTCATCACATTTGAATAATTCTAAAGCATTTTGTGAGTTGTGAATGAAACCTTCCTTCATCTATTAACTAATTAAGGATCACAGATGCCAGGTGGAAAGCTTTCATTGCTCTTGCCAAGTAAATATTCACGATGATGACAACAATTATTTATTAGCGTAAGTCGTATTAAAGATAACACAGTAAACAAACCGCAAAGGGCCCGGATGCACCCAATATACTCGACGTTTTACACGTCTACATCTACGTCTTTGTACTGTCGATTTCTTCACACGAGTCATAGAATATATGGCATATACTTCAATCTAGCAATTATTACACAAGGAATACAATGCCATGGCCATGGGACATGGATAATTTAATACGCCAAGTAAATAATAGTATCAATTCAAATTATGTACTAAATACATGTCGAATTTCATTTGGTCGTATAAACATATGAACATATAAACAGATTTATTTATAAATCATTCACAAGAATGTTATTGTTGTATATATAACATGACCTGGAAATAATTACCTCTTTCCCGCATGTTTGATAACGTGCTATGGAATTATTTGACTGACTTTCCAGTTTAAATTCCCCAATCGCTGGGCTGTTTGATGTTTGTCGTGCTTGAATAAGAAACCCAGCGACTGACACTAATCCGCTCACAGAGAGACGGACGTAACTGCCGTCAATTTCGGCTTTTACTTCGTATGGTGTTCTACTTAAATCTTTACTTGGAATTGGAACTGGGTCGAGATGACCAGGAACCATATGATCGCAAGCTTTAGGGTCAGACGGAGCACCGTTTTCACGACCAAATACGACTTTTCCAGACAAACACAGAATAACCAGTTGTAATATTTTCATTTTTGTGATAATGAATGTCATAAATGATTGCCGATAATGATTTTGTTTCCTATCTCAAACCTTTATACATACGTTAATTTCGTCATTAATATTGTTGTTGTCAGGAAATTATGATCTCGACTTTTTTGCATAAAAAAGGCATGTGCTAAAACCTGGACGATGTATGGACGGTGGACGATGGACGGTGGACTAGCCTGCGAGCAGGCTCTCTGGGGAAAGAGAGCCTGCAAGGATCCCTTTGATGATTCGGTGCATGCGTCCAATATTTGGACGCAGTGCTCTGATTGGTTGATAACTGATTCATATGAAGTGATTGACAAGCTTCCATAAACTTGCACTTCCAGTTTGTAAAACCGAGCAACGCAAAGCTTCGGAATTGCGGCAATGTAGAGATAAAAGTGTCATGTATTTTGATCCTGGTTGACTTTTTACTGTAAATTACTATAGTATTCATATAAAGACGAATACTAAAAGCTTGCATGCTTTATTGTGTCCTTGGCTTGTCTGACTCCTAAGCTAAGAATAATTCTTGAGAAAGACTGCACAAATTCGCAAACCGAAACCTAGGGACAAGGCATTATATCGCTTCTCTATTATGAAACAATATTGGGAATTCTGATAATATTCAGTGCATATTGTGTGTATTAAGCTTGTTTTACAATGTTATACTGACTATTTAATATTTATAAGTATGCGGCGTTACAGGTAAAATGTACAGTAATTTACTCGTCACTTTGTTTACAATATTAAATTATCACATGCATGTTTACTGCAATTCCACTTTTTGTTGCAAAATTTGAACTATAAACATATTATTAAATTATGTCCAATGTCCATGGGATATCATATATGTCTATGTCTCACCAAAGCCATAAATTTCAGTAAGTTATATTATTACTATATATAGACTGTATACAGTGTATATTATATATTGCAGCACGAAGCAATTCCAAATAACTGAATTAGTTAGCGGGTAATATACAACTTTAAACTTACTGTGCCTACAGGAGAAACACATGCAGATTGTAATAAAAGTACAACTTGATATATTACTCTGTAAAACCTCGAGCCGTTTTAACTTTTTTAGTATGCCACAGTGGCGGTCTGTATACGAAACTATTACAGTAACGAATTTGAAACGAATCGGTTTATGTTTACAATATCGTAGTGTATTCCGGTCTGCGCTGATTGGTTGTTATTAATTGACCTGTGACATCATAATTGAAGGGTGGCACGCAATCATCATAGGGATCCTTGCAGGCTCTCTTTCCCCAGAGAGCCTGCTCGCAGGCTATCTAAACTTTTGTCACTATTATCATTCATACTCGACGTCTATAATGTTAATGTACTCATAACTCATCAAGTTTCAAAATATACAGTTTCATATATATTTTTGGTTGCCAGATCTGTTATGGTATAAAGATATACGTAGCTGAATGTCTGAGATTATAGTTGAGGTAATGGTTTTACTTCTACCACGCCACACACCTGCTGCAGTGTATCCACGTTCTGTTGATTTTCCTTGCTTAAATCACGCGTCTCCATAAGTTGTCTTTCCAACTTTAATACTTTTTTCTTCAAAAAATCAATATCTCGTTGAATAGTCTTCTGCTCTTCTGGTTTTGTGTCTTGTTCCAATGAATCTTGTTGAACCCCTGCCAGGCCGTCGTAAGAAATAAATTCACGTTCTATTTATACAATATATGTTTCGACACACCAGCCAATGTGATCATCCAAGATCGTCTTTCTTCAAGGAATCAAGCTCTGTATCAGAATGCCGTTTTTATATAGAGCAGTCTCTTTCATACCACCTCTATACAACACAATGTGTTGAATTTGAAATTCCGTATTGAATATTAGTCTCCTTATAAACAGACCTTGATCAGTATATATTACCGAAGCCAGTATAACTCGAAGTTACGGTTAACACTAACACGGTGGTGACGTTGTCGTGATGCGGCGGCTGCAGTATGCCTATATGTCTATAATTACAATGAAGAAGGAATACATGCAGAGGATATAGAAACCTGGGTCACTCAAGCCTAAGACGGTGCATGTGTACTTCGAAACCCGGACTCGATTCGGACCCGGACTCAAACTCGAAGGAAATCCGGACTTGAGAAAATCCTGGACCCGGACCCGAAAAAATTATCCTGACTCGTCTTTGAGAAAACCCGGACTTGACTTTTGAAAACCCGGAATCGAAATAGAAAAAACCGGTTTCGAAACAAGAACTTTGTGTACGAGAATGGAAAGGTTTTTGAAAAACTAGGTTTAATAATAGTTAACATGATCAACTTGACATGATAAACAATGATTTCTTTATAACAATAATCAGTATACATCTTTACTAATAAATTTCTATATAGAACGCTGCATGTAAAACTATCTGACGTAGTGCTGACAACGAAGCTGAGTTGCATCGCCATCGGTAATAATTCGTGTATTTGTGTTCTCGCGCCGCGAGTGTCGGCAGGTACAAAACGCAGGTTGCAGGTTGGAATTTCGCAGGTTGGGAATTTTGCAGGTTGGGGATTTTGCAGGTTGGAATTTTGCAGGTTGCCAGGAATTTTGCAGGTTGATGATGCAAACTTAAAATTACACCACTTTTTTAGTATTCTAGTATAATTTAATTGTGTACTTATTGCAGTCTGACTCCTTGTCGGCACTTTTGATATCAGCCTATCCTGCTACCATGTTCCTAGCTTCTGCTCTAAGGAGTGGCCATCACCCTTGTGAAAACATTAAAAATGACCAGATTGGCTTGGACCTTCAGGGGGACGGATGTTTCGATTGTTGCGAGGAGCCTACATGACGTGGTGGCAGTTCAGAAAATGCCTGAATGATGTGTCTCTCCTCTGCACCCACTTATGAGAAGTCTACTCAAGCCCCCAATTACCGTATCATTACTCGAGAGTTAGTTAACTTTTAACAACATTCTAGTATAAACGTCGCCAAGTCATGTAGGCACCTCGAACAATCAAAACATTCGTCTCCCTGTAGGTCCAAGCCAATCTGGTCATTTTGAATGTTTTTACGGGGGTGATGGCCACTAGCCTTAGAGCAGAGGCTAGGAACATGGCAACAGGGTAGACTGATTAGCTGATATCAAAAGCGCCGACAAGGAGTCAGACTGCAATAAATGCACAACTAAGTTATACTAGAATACTAAAAAAGTGGTGTAATTTTAAGTTTGCATTATCAACCTGCAAAGTTCCTGGCAACCTGCAAAATTCCAACCTGCAAAATTCCAACCTGCAAAATCCCCAACCTGCAAAATTCCAACCTGCAACCTGCGTTTTGTACCTGCCGCCGCGAGTGTTCCTCTCCCTTCCCCAGTGGCGGCGCCAGGCTTCCAAATTTGGGGGGGCATTTGAGGGGCAAACTCAAATTTTGGGGGGGCAAGATCGAATTTTTAAAAAGGTTGCCCCCCAGGAAATTCGCCCCCCCCCCTCAAAACGTGGCGATATTCCTAGGAATATCGCCCCCGGGGGCGAATATCCTAGGAATATCGCCTCCCAGGGGGGTGGGGCGAATACCCTAGGAATATCGCCCCTCTTTAGGTGATTCGCCCCCCATCTATGCGATGTGGTTTATTCAAATAATTTCGTGATACTTTCATCTTATTATTGCCTTACACGTTTGAGAATTTAACTCTGCAAAACTAAAGCTTTTTTGTCTTTTTTTTAAACGTATTATTGGAGTATTGGCAAGTTTTACCATTCAGAGATTTACAAACTAATATTGAAACTATAAAAAACAGTTTCATGTATACGCGCATTCACAAATGAGTAATGACAACTTATAAGCCATACATTTTCCGATAACGACAGAACACTTGTGTAGCCTTTAGTCGCTCTTAGTGACTAATAATTTTTTTTGAGGGGGGCAAAATGGGGGGGGGGCAAAAAATAATTTGGGGGGGCATTTGCCCCCCCTTGCCCCCCCCTCGCGTCGCCACTGCCCTTCCCGCTTTCTAGATAGATAGATATGATACTTTATTTGAACAGGGTAGCCAATCAACAAAATGGCTGGTATCCATTCGGGCCCTGAATATAATAAAATAGTTACAATAATAAAATAATTTACATACCATTACATTAAAACATTATCTACAATTGTATGTACATTTAAAATCCAAAGATTACAATATCAGTATCATGCTAGTGTAAGCCTAGAAACAATATTTTTGGATCAGATGCTTGAAGTTGGACAAGGTAATGTAGCGTTCTTTATTATATAAACATGAGTGTTATATAGGGATTTTGGCCACTGAGAAAAATCGTATTTAAACACACGTAAAAAACACGATATTAACGCACGCGTAGGATTTAAAGCACGCATATCATGTTCAACACGAAAAATAAATCTGGTATTTCCAAGCACCCATGTATTATTCTCTATTTATTCCACTGCGTGGCACTGGGAAGCGTGTTATAAAGTAATGTTGCAGAAAATCTAAAACGGTTATTTTGCTTAGACTAAGGCTAAAATTTGCCTTTAATTTGGTTTCGGAAAACGCAAATTATTTTTTCTTCTAGTGATATATGTGTGGATATACTACGGTTCCTCTACACAAAATAATCTCTTAGATATACTGGAACCAAATCATTTAGGCACTTAAAAACTAAAATGCGTACATGCATATACTTCTGCGAGTAGCTGAATCGACTCCTAGTCCTAGACCTAGACCTAAATTAATAGGTATAAAGTATTCAAGAATGTCTTGTATGCAGGAAAGCAACTATCAGGAGACGATTGGGACAAAGCGTAACATTATTCACAGCTACCACCTATAACCTGGGCAATTTGCTTCGGCAATCTGATTATTGAAAATGGCAAGGTTGATTGAGAACGCTCTGACTTGCATCGGGGAAAAAATGCCCCGTTTGCCACCGAGGCGAATTAAAATAGTTCAAATACGAATTTCCATTCTCGTACACATAGTCCTAGTCGCGAATCCGTTTTTTTCTATTTCGAGTCCGCCGTCCGGGTATTCAAAAATCAAGTCCGGGTTTTCTCAAAGACGAATCCGGATTTTTTCCGAGTCCGGATTTTCCGAGTCCAAGAGTGGTCAATTCAATTAACGAATTAACAGATTATTCTGTACTTTCACAAGGGGAATTCTCTTTCCATCAGAATGACGTCATCTTGACGCAGCAGGGTTTTGGCCCAAGAGGGCCAAAATCCGAGAAGGCATATATTGAAGAGTCCCCGCACGTAATGCCCGCAAAGCATTTGGTGGGTAATATCGCAAAAACAATATATGGTAATATGGGGGGGTATTGAAGTCCCCGCACGCAATATGATATAAATTGTTTAACCCTTTGCAGCAACAATCTTTCTTTAGCTAATAATAGCTGTGGATAGTCATGACTAGGCCACATGCGAAATTCGATGTGATAGTTGAAAATACCAAAATATTTTATCCTGTGAGAGTTTGTTTGAATGTTTAATTGTTGCCAAAGCCATTTTATGGGAAATTTTTATTTCTTCCCTATATATTTATTCATTTTATTGTCATTTTATATTGTAAATATTAGAAATATAGCTCATAGTATACCAACAACTTCATTTTATGGAAGTTCTACCCAGAGGATAAGATTTAGCAATAATGTAATGAATGTAGAGACCAGGCAGACTAGGATAATTTTGCCAGATGGGGATAATAGGGAAGTTGAAGATGGAGAGGAGGTTGAAAATTTTTACAATATGTCAGGTTCCGACTTTTAATATAGAAGATATAACAGTGCTTTATACTTAGTTATTTGAGCTTTTATTATATGCCAATTTTCTATTTAAAAAATATGAATTTATAACTTCATTATATTTTGTCATACAAACTTAACGTTACCCTTACTGCATGTTGTTGCTCAGGAGCAACAATTCCAAAATCGGCCGAAAACATGAAAAAAAAATATTTTTTTTGGATTGGACAGCAAATACACCTCTAAAACATTCATAATCAATACTAAAATATTTTTTTCTTAAATAATCCAAAATTCATGCAGGAAAGGGTTAAGGTCAAGCAATTGTTAAAACTATCAAGATTAGAAGCATTTAGTTCATATATTACAGTAAAAGGTATATACGACAAGTTTAATATGTCAAATAAGCTAACACACCACAAGAAACTGATTAATAGTAAATATAATATTAGATTTTTGCATGTATGTTAAAAGTTCTATACATTTCCACCAGTATATCGTCTAAACTTTTGTCACTTTATCATTCATACTGTACTCGACGTATATAATGTTAATGTACTCATAACTCATCAAGTTTCAAAATATACAGTTTCATATATAT